CCCTCAGATGGTTGGAGACTCCCCTAGTTTTGGCCACTGGTTGATGTTCAGGGGTTTAAGTGGTCCCAGTTGGTCCTGAGTGTTAAACACCAGCTGAGTCATTTCTTCCTGCAGTTAATGATTGCCCAGGCCTGTCGCTGCCAGCAGCCACAGCATGTTAATGATTGAAACCCATAAACAGGGCCTTGCTCATTCCCCTTGTGCAAAGCCACCCCATGACCTTCTCCCAGCTCCAGCACTATCCCCAGAGAGGGGAGGGGGGTTCATTTGGGAATAAACCCCACCCTGTTCCCACCTCTCTTCCCCACTCCCCTGTACCCTGTGAACATCCTGTCAAAGTGATGTTAAACAGAGCAGAGTTTCAGGTCCTGCTTCAAGTGGGAGGGCAGAAGTTATTCCTCTCAACATGAAGCTTTGAAACATTAAGCTTCTCATCAGAGAAGATAGTGATAGGACCAGGGGTGATGGTTTTAAACTGAGAGAAGGGAGATTTAGGTGAGATATTAGGAAGAAATTCTTCACTTTGAGGGTGGTGAGGAACTGGGATGGGTTGCCCAGGGAGGTTGTTGATGCCCCATCCCTGGAGGTTTTGAAGGCCAGGTTGGACAAAGTTTTGTGCAACCTGGTCTAGTGGTTCCCTGCTCATGGCAGGGGGGTTAGAACTGGACGATCTTTAAGGTCCCTTCCAACCTTAATGATTCTATGAAAAAGCTTTCCCTGTGTCCAGCAGGGACATGATCCAGCCACTAAAGTAATGTTAGTATCAATAAAGGGATGATTTAAGGTTGGCTCCTGCCTGCTCATCTCTGAGTGCATCTTTGTAGGTGCAAGCAGCAAAGCATCTGTATGCAGGGGAGTGTTTGTTCTTTATGATCTCTTTTAGAAAAGAGAGTATGAGATCAAATTTTATTCCCTTGGAAAAAAAAATAAAATTTAAAGATCTCTGAACATCTAGTGAAAGGGTTTGAGGCAGTTGGGGCAAGTGCTGAATTCCTGCTCCTGCAGGTGGGAGCTGGGAGAGGGACTTGATGCTGCTTTTTCTGTGAATTAATGAATTTTGAAGGGGAATAAAAGGTCCTGATTAATATTTGGGACTGGAAATCCCTCCCAGGCCAAGGTCTGAGTGACAGCAGAAATTGGTGGGAAGCAAAGTTCTCTTTTCCTGAGGTTGTATAGAAGCAACTGCAGAGTTTTCTTGCTCTTCCCATCCCTGCAGGCACAAATCTGGTGGCTTTTTTTAGCATACAGCCTCGTTAAGTGCTTGTGGAATATGGGTGTTAATTACTGGCTGATGGGGAACTGGGGCTGGGGAAGAGCCCAGTGACCACGTTCTGGCCTGGTTTATACTGCTGGAGGTTTGGGGATTGTCTGTGATTCAGTGGAGAAGGGGAGAGAGCCTGAAATGACTGAAAAAACCTTGGATGAACTCCAGTTTTAGGGTGAATCATTCTCCTCAACACGGCTTCAAATGAATGTGGAAGTTTTAGGCAACGTTGAGTGTTATCTTCACTTAAGTCTGGTGTAAATCTGGTGCTTGGGACATCCCCTGGCTGTGGCACTACCTGGTTTTGCAGGGAAATGCTGAATCTCCCTTGTTGTTTGGCACACAAAGTTGGTTTCTGAATAGAAGTGAACAAAGTGTATTTTATAAATGGTTGAATGCACAGAAGGTTGGTCACCAATCACCAGGATTGTTGTGTGCAAGGGGTCTGGACATGAGGAGGGAATTCTTTGTTGTGAGGGTGGTGAGAGCCTGGCCCAGGTTGGGCAGGGAAGCTGTGGCTGCCCCATCCCTGGGGGTGTTGAAGGGCAGGTTGGATGGGGCTTGGAGCAGCCTGGGCTGGTGGGAGGTGTCCCTGCCCATGCAGGGGGTTGGATCTGGATGATCTTTCAGGTCCCTTCCCAGCCACACCAGTCTGGGATTCCATGATTTGGGGCTGCCCCTTCCCCCGGGCTGGCTGCAGGATGCCCACGGGCTCTTCCAGAACCCCAGCAAGGGCAGGAAGCCCCGGTTGCAACGTGTTTGTTTAAAAATCGGCTGCAGACCCACTAGCCCGCCCGGCTGGGGACTCATTGTTGGAGTCAACCCATGCAAAGCGGAGCTCCGGGCTGCTCGGGGCTCAGGAAAGGGTTAACAGGGTGAACGCCGGCGGCTCTTTTCGCTGCCTCCTTCCCTCTCCGCTCCTGCCAGGCGGAAGTTGGAGCCAGCAGCTCAAGTTCAAGGCTCTCCCGTGTGGATGGGTGTGCTTTTCCAGCTCGGGAAAGGAGGGCAGGAGGCGGGAGGGTCCCCCCGCTCACCGCAGCGACCACGATGGCTCAGACCTCCCAGTGCCGAAATTCCCACCTCTATTACTACATCATCAAATTCTCTCTCTCCACCTACGCCACCCTCTTCTCGGTAGGTGCTCCAGCTGCTGTTTCTGTCCTTCCCGCTGTCCCCATCCCCCTCCTGCCCTCACCACATCGCCCACCCCCCCCTCCATGGTTGGGTTTTGTTTTGCTTTGTCTAAATGGTAGAATCCCAGATGGTTTGGGTGGGAAGGGACCTGAAAGATCTTCTAGATCCAACCCCCTGCATGGGCAGGGACACCTCCCACCAGCCCAGGTTGCTCCAAGCCCCATCCAACCTAAATTTTCCCATCTAAGGCGTCAAATCCCAGCGGGAAAACCCAGTGCTGTGAAGCTGCTTCTAGCTGGGGCCAGAAATGGGCAATCTTGGGTGAAACACCAGGTTTTGGTGAATTTAAGAGCACCTCCCTGGGACTGCTCATCCCCTGAGTTGCTTTTGGCAAATCCCTCATGTCCCGATCTAAGGCTTTTGGAGCATAAACATGGGATTGTTGTGTTTCCACCTCCCAAGCCCCCGTTGCCAGCAGGTCCCCCCTGCCTCTCTCAGCCTTCGTGTCATTCCACAGGGACAAGGTACAAAAGCTGACACCGGGTGACAGGTATTTTAGCCAGATTGGTTGTTTTAAGAGTCGTTTTAAGAGTAATTTTAACTATTTTGAAGCAATTTTGAATCCCTGCACTCGGGGTGAGGCTTCCCCAGCACCTGGGAGCACGTGTTGGAGCAGGGGAGGGGGGAAGCAAGAGATTCCCTGTCCTTTTAGGCTCTGTGCATCCTCAGCTAATGTGTGAGATGTGATGTTAGCACCTTCCTAGGGTTAATCTTGTATAATCCAGTCCAAATTTCGAAATATTTTCTCCTGAGGGATCATTAATCCTCTTTACCCCATGCCCAGTTGCCTGCCAGGTGTGGATGTGTCTCGTCGTGTAAGTGTCATTGCAGAAATAGTTGCATGAGTTCCCAGGCAGGCTGGAGATGATGAACAGGGTTACAAACAGAGTTGGAAAATGCTTTTAATTTCCCTATTTATTTAATATTTAGAGTGAATGAGCTCGTTGGGATGGCAGTGCACAGCCTGACTGGTTGGTTGTCTCACCAGACAGAATGATCTGTGCCCACCCCAGGGCATGGATGAAAATAAGGAAAAAGGGTGGGTTTTTTTGGTAGAATATCTTGCTGGTTTTCCTTGCGACTTGTGAGGAGGAAGGCTCTCAAGAGGAGAGGAAACTCAAATATCTCCCAGGGGGATGGCCAGGACCCTCCCACTGCACCCAGGGAGACCAACAAAAATCCAGATTTCTTAACCCATTTGTGGCTGTGCTTGGAGTTGTTGGGTAAAGACACTGCAGTAGTTTTTTACTTGGGAAATTAATCAGTGGGAAAAAGAGTTACTGTGGTTCTGGTTTCTCTGAAGAGCGGAGTAGTGCTTGGTTTGAGGTTTCCTTAAATGCCTTTAAGCAGCTGAAGGGATGTGGAAGAAGGGCTGGGGTTTTTATTCCCAGCTGATCGGAACTCAGGTCACAGCTGCTCTGAACTTTGGGATGAACTGGCACAGTCTCTGTGACAGATGCTTATTAATTGCTGGGGCCTTTGGGAAGGACTCCATGGGGCATCATGAGGGGTTCACCAGCAGGAAGAGACTTGGTAACTTCCATGTGACTGGAAAATATCTTCAAAAAAGCTGCTTTAAATCTCTCCAACCCAGCTTCCCTTCAGCCCTGGGCCTGTGCTCGTGTGTCACAGAGTCACAGTGGTGGGGTGGGAAGGGACCTCTGGAGATCATCCACCCAACCCCTGCCAGAGCAGGGTCACCTCCAGCAGGTCCCACAGGAACACCTCCAGCTGGGGTTGGGATGTCTCCAGAGAAGGAGCCTCCACAGCCTCTCTGGGCAGCCTGGCCCAGGGCTCTGCCACCCTCCCAGGGCAGCAGCTCTTCCTCACGTTTAGGTTGACCCTCCTGTGCTCCAGCTTGTGTCCGTTGCCCCTTGTTGGTGATTGTCCCATGGAATCCATAGGGATCACAAAGCTCCAACCAGCTTTTCAGCTGCCTGACCTACTTCTCTCCTCATTTGCAAATCTCGCCGCCGTGTTAATTCAGTGATGCTGCTGAACCCTTCAAAGCCTCATCAACCAGACGTGACCAGGGCTGCCTTTCTGCCCAAATGCACTTGATCAAAGATGATTGTGTGGGACGTTCCTGCTTGCACTGAACAAAGGCTTTGAAACTTTAAACACCCAAGTAAAAATCCAGTGCACTAAGATTTGAGTTGGTTCCCAGCAAAGAGTCAGAAAAGGTTTTTGGGGTGAGATGCATCATGATTTTCTAGCACAGGTTTGTCCCAGCCTGCTGAAAACTGGATCTAGTGCTGCTAGATCCTTCCCATGCAATGAAAGCATTTATTTATAGGTGGAAAAATCATAAAATGAGTGTGGGATAAGGCAGAAAGTGACTTGAAAGCAAACATGGAGCAAAGGGTAGAGAAGTTTGAGCATTGTGGGTTGGACCAGCTGGTTTGATATGGGTGGGTTTAGTCCTCATTGTTGAGGATTCAGCAGAGAACAGATTTGAAGTTTCCTTTTCAAGAAGAAAGGCTGCTTTCCTTTTCCTGCTCTTCCCATAAGATTGAAAACAGCTCTTTGAGTTGACCCTCCTGAAAGTGTATTAGTTTATATCCAAGTACTGTTGGAGTGAAGCATTATATGATCATAGAATCATGGGATGTTTTGGGTTGGAATGGACATTAAAGATCATCTAAATCCAGCCCCCTGCATGGGCAGGGACACCTCCCACCAGCCCAGGCTACTCCAAGCCCCATCCAACCTGCCCTTCAACACCCCCAGGGATGGGGCAGCCACAGCTTCCCTGCCCAACCTGGGCCAGGCTCTCACCACCCTCACACCAAAGAATTCCCTCCTCATCTCCAACCTCCATCTCCCTCTCCCAGTTTTCATCCATCCCACTCATCCCATCCCTCCCTGCCCTTGTCCCAAGTCCCTCCCCAGCTTTCCTGGAGCCCCTTCAGGCACTGGAAGCTGCTTTAAGGTCTCCCTGGAGCCTTCTCTCCTCCAGGCTGAACACCCCAACTCTCCCAGCCTGGCTTCAGAACAGAGCTGCTCCAGCCCTTGGATCATCTCCCTGGCTCCTCTGGACTCTCCAGGAGCTCCATGTCCTTGTGTTGGGGCTCCAGAATTGGACACCACTAAAAAAACTGCTACTCTCCCTCAAGGCCTTTGCTTTCTCTCCATTGGAATCTGAATCCCATCCTGTGCTTCCCTTGCAGATCCTTGGCCTCGTGATCCTGTGCGTTGGGATTTACGCCGAAGTGGAAAGGCAAAAACACAAAACCTTGGAAGGGATCTTCCTGGCTCCAGCCATCATCCTTCTCCTGCTGGGTGTCACCATGTTTGGTGTCTCCTTCGTGGGCATGGTGGGGAGCCTCAGGGACAACCGGATGCTGCTGAAGATGGTAAGGCTATTCCCATGCTCTCTGTGCAGCCCTTGGGATGCTCTTGAGGACCCCAAGGAGAACAATTAACATATCCTAATGATTCACCACCAGGACCTGGAGCAACTCTGTGTCCCTTCCTGGATTTAAATACTTGCATGATGATATGAGGAGGAATTTCTTGACTGAAAGAGTGCTCAGGCCCTGGAGTAGGCTGCCTGGGGAGGTGGTGGATTCACCATCCCTGCAGGTGTTCCAAAAACATGTGAATGTGGCACTTCAGGACATGCTGTAATGGGCATAGGGTTGTTGTGGTGGTGTTTGTTTGGTGGTTGCTGTTTTTTCCCCTGGGTGGTTGGTTGGACTTGCTGATCTTGGAGGTCTTTTTCAACCGTGACAATTCTGTCATTCTGTGACTGCTCAGTGGTTCCTGCTCTGCTGTGAAGCCAGCAGAGGGATGTCGGGGGAGGATCTATTTAAATTGCAGAGCTGGCACCCTCATCTCCCTGTTATCCACAGCTGGATGCTCCAAACATCTGTGGGAAGCTCTGCTGCCTCCTCCTGAGGGAACACGGGAGTTATTTTTGGGGCTGAGATCCCATCTCTGGCAGAACAGTCTCCACCACTCAGTTTATTTTAGCTGTGTTGATGCCAGTAGAGAAGAGCTTCATCTTCTCTTGGAAGGGTTTTCTTAGCAGAGGGAAAAATTACCTGGGAAGTCCAAACTGGATGAGATCCAAGCCATCAGGGCAAAGGTGTTTGCTCCTAATGGAGAGAGTCCAGAGGAGCCAGGGAGATGATGGGAGGGCTGGAGGAGCTCTGCTCTGGAGCCAGGCTGGGAGAGTTGGGGTGTTCAGCCTGGAGAAGAGAAGGCTCCAGGGAGACCTTAGAGCCCCTGCCAGTGCCTGAAGGGGCTCCAGGAAAGCTGGGGAGGGGCTTGGGACAAGGGCAGGGAGGGATGGGATGAGGGGGATGGATTGAAACTGGGAGAGGGAGATGGAGGTTGGAGATGAGGAGGGAATTCTTTGGTGTGAGGGTGGTGAGAGCCTGGCCCAGGTTGGGCAGGGAAGCTGTGGCTGCCCCATCCCTGGGGGTGTTGAAGGGCAGGTTGGATGGGGCTTGGAGTAGCCTGGGCTGGTGGGAGGTGTCCCTGCCCATGCAGGGGGTGGGACTGGATGATCTTTCAGGTTCCTTCCAACCCGAACCATCCCATGATTCTTTGATCCCCTTCCTTTTCCCCCATCCAAAAATGATGCCCATGTTCCTGTGCACAGGAATTGCTGTGTTCATCTCACATGGCAGGCGTGAAGCTGCTTCTATCCATGGGGAGAAAAAGCCACCCAGAACTGGCAGGATTCTCTCTTTTTCTCAGCTGTGCCTGTTGCAGAATTGGTTCTGCTGACAACCTGTGAAACACACTTAATGAGCTTGGGTTTCTGTCCCTTGGGCTGCTCCAAGGATGAGATTTCCTCCCCTCTGATGTGCCAATTTTCCACTTCCAAAGGCAGTCAAGGTTGTGAAAACAAAGTATTAGCTGTGATTCTTGAGAATTAGCAGAGAAAGACAAATATTATCAGAAATTTGAAGGACTTATCCTTCTTTGGAAGAAGCCTAAATAGAATGAACTCAAGTCTGTGTAGCTTGAAAAGCAAACAAACCCCAAAGATGAAACGTTCTCCATGAGCACCTGGACTTCAGCTTTGGCAGAAAATTATTTCTAGAGATTCTAAAGAAACACAGAGTTCCCCACTAGCTCTGATGGACAGGGAAGAGAAGGTTGAGTGTTTGAGGTCTGAGTCCAGGCAAATTCTCACTGTTATCCTAGAATCCAAACAGAAAAAATGCAGGTGACAGGGAAGTAATGAAACAGTCATTTTTTAAGCAAACTATCAGGGCTATGAAACACCCCAAACATCACCCAGGTGGGATGTCTCTGGTCACCTGGACAAGGTGTCTCTGGCCACCCAGATGGGATGTTTCTGGGCACTCCCTTAGAGACTTTTCCAAACACAGGAGGTCAGGAGGCTGCTCTCAACCAGAGCAGATGGTACCTTCACTACAGCAGAGATGGGAAACCTCGTCTGCTCGTCACTCCACAACTTTCATGGAAAGCCCTGAATTTTCAGAAGTAATTTTGAAGGAGGCACATTGATTTGATAAAGGATGGGAGAGAGATGAGGGTCCAGGCCGGCCAAAGTAATCCAACTTCCCCATTTTTCTTTTCCATTGGGGGGAGCTTGTTGGGTTCCTCCTTTCCTGACAAAATTTGTCCCCCAGAGAAGGATTTGACCTTGGCTTTGTGGCAGCCAGAGACCAGCTGCAGCAGCAGCTCCTTTGGCCCTTCTGTGGGTGTTGTAGACTATCTAACCCCTAGAAATACATCTATAAATGTATAAGTGTATTTTTATACCTTTTCTGCTGTTTCCAAATGTTCAGCACCCTCCACCAGCTCCACCACTCACTTTATCTGCTATTATGTATTTTTACTCTCCAGGTTGATCCCACCAGGTGACTTCCCTGAGCTTGAAATGTGCTTTTTAAAATTTTTTTCCCCTCCCACCTCTCCAGCCCTGATTACATGTGTAAATAGAGAGAATAAAAGCTGGGAAATGGGAGATAGGTCAGATTGGAAGAGGGAAGTGGTTGGCAATCACAGAGCTATTGTGTGGATGGAGAATTGTCCTTCTCCTGAGAAGATAAATTCCCCCTCCAAGAGAGGCAGCTCCTACAGTGATTTGAAGCTTAGGGACCCTGAATAAAAGCAATCAGGATGTGTGAAGGAGCCACTTGGAGGGCTGAGCTGATGCAAGCAGCTGGGTTTTTTTTTCTCCAATTGTGTGGAAAAAGGGGTAAAAAAACAGGCAGGAAACCTCCAGTGCTGTGTAGAGCATCCTCTGCCCCATCCCCAGCATGAATTCATGACCCTAGAGCAGCCACTTGAAATCAGTTTGAAGTCAAAGGAGGTGAAAATACCAGTAAGTGGCACTTTCCCCTTGTTTTGATTTTCGGTTTGGAAGAATTGGGTGGATCATGAATGTTTTGGGGCCTCGTTCCTTGTGCACTTGGATATTTGACTCATGGTTTCTGGGAAACCTCTTGGTTGAGAGCAGAGGAGATCTGCATGGAGAACCCAGCTCAGCCATCTGCCCCAGGGTGTGCTCACTTCCAGGCCAGCTGCAAAGAATTTCTTGAGTATTTGCAGTTAAAAAGGCTTTGGGATGAACTGAAAAGTTCCATGTGAACCCCTGAGCTGACCTCGGGGATTGCAGGAGTTTGGGGAGAATATGGGCTGGTTTGGGGCTTGCAAAGTTTGCAGCTGCAAGGGGGTTTTGCTGTCCCTGCAAAATGAATGAGGGAGAACCAGGTGGTTTGGGATGCAGCAAAAATATGGGGGATATTTATGGGCAAGACAGAGATTCCCTTCCCAAAAATAAAGTATTGAGCAATTTCCAGCTGAGATGGGATTTGAGCATCATCTCCTTTGGGCTGGTTTTCTGTTGTTTCTCCTCTCATGGAAGATGAAGAAGAGGAAGAAATACCCCTTCTGCTTTAGCTCTGTTGTATGTGGGTTTTCCTATGGCTAAGAGGCAGGTTTTGGAGAAGCTGTTGCAGGTTTTGGTTGCAAAAAGAGCAGGTGTTGGAGGGCAGGACCAACCCATCCCCACCAAAGCACAGGGAGTTCCAAACCAGGGCAGCAGGGATGCTCTTTAAGCACTGAACGGGTAGGTTAGGTTATGGTAGAGGGGTATAGGTTATGGTTGGACTTGATGATCTTCAAGATCCCTTCCAACCAGGATGATTTTATGATTCTGTGATTCTCTGGCAGCCTGGTGGGATGGATAACACATCCAGTGCTCTGGAAGAACTTGGTAAATAAAACAAAGCTTCTTCTGGTTACAGGTTTGCAACAAGTAAATCTTCTAAACTGGAAGAGGGAGCTGGAGGTTGGAGATGAGGAGGGAATTCTTTGGTGTGAGAGTGGTGAGAGCCTGGCCCAGGTTGGGCAGGGAAGCTGTGGCTGCCCCATCCCTGGGGGTGTTGAAGGGCAGGTTGGATGGGGCTTGGAGCAGCCTGGGCTGGTGGGAGGTGTCCCTGCCCATGCAGGGGATTGGATCTACATGATCTTTCAGGTCCTTCCAACCCAAACCATTCCATGATTCCAGGAACGGATGCTGGGGAGACACAAATAAGGCTGAGGAGAGAATTTTTGTAGAGTCCCAGGTGCTATTAATAACACAGAAGTGTTTTAATCTCCATTAAGAGTTTCCAGGGAATTGCCTGCTGCTCATTGAAGGATTGAGCTGTTGAAGAATTTATTTTCCTGATTGAGAGGAAAGCAACAGGCAGAGAAATCTTTGGGAAGAGGTGAAATTGGATTGCTTGGCCCCTCAAACTCTGGAATAAATTGGATGTGAAAGGAGCCATCACTCAGGGAGCTGGATGGAGGAGGGGAACTAAGAGGAACATCCATCCCTGTTCATAAAAACCTCCTGTTCTTTGGGTTTTTGAGGCCATGAGCGTGTTCTGCTACAGCATCTGTCTTGGTCTAGTGATTGGAGCAAAGGGTAGTTGGACTGTAGCCAAGGAAGGGTTAAGAGCAGCCAAAAATGAACCATATTTCAGACTATAAAAGCCCCAAAGGGTGGAAAAAGGGGGACTTGGGCAGGACTGGGGAGCAGATTTGGTCTTCAAAGGGGCAGAGCAGGTGTCTTGAGAGACGTGGGGATAGGGTTGGTCCTGAGATGTGGGGGATGGACCACACCACATGCCCAGAGCACTTGGGGTTTGGGGTTTTTTTTGCCAGGCTACTAGACCTTTTGGGACTAAAACCAGCCTTGTTGGTTATTTAGCTCATGAAGCATAAAGGAAATGTGCATTTTGACTTCAGGCTTAGCAGATGTTTGGGTGAAACCCAGAGAAGGGTAGGTATGAGCTCCAGCTTGGGTGGGTGGGCAGGAGAGCAACCTGGCCTAGTGGGAGGTGTCCCTGCCCCTGCAGGGGGCTGGAGCTAGATGATCCTTAAGGCCCCTTCCCACCCAACCCGTTTCATGGCTCCATGGTGCATGAGGAAAATCATGCCCTGAGCAGAGAGGGTTGTTGCTGAATTACTAAAACCAAAGATGCTCCACAGAGTCTTTTCATCTGGGCTTTGTTGTCCTCGTTTAATCTGTGTAGGAGACATTCCTGACAGATTTTTGGGGTGAGTTTTTTGGCTTCAAAGCATCTGTGAAAGCTGCTTTTACGTGAGAATAACCAATTATTTGGGTTTTCAGAGGAAGGGGCTGCATGTGAGTGTCTTTCCAGAAGAAAAGGAGACCTTTAGAAAGGGCCACTCAGGGTGGGAGAGAAGCTCTAAGGTGTCATTAGGAAGAAATGGTTCTTTCAAAGCACAACTTGAAAGTTTCCATTTGGGGACAAAAGCAACTGTTTTTGTTGCTTTGGTGCCTTATTTGGTCCCATTTATGAAGAGGGAACAAGCAGTTCCCTCTCTGGATGCCCAAAAAGAAGGTGAGACCCGAGGAGCACCATCCTGTGGGTGCAAACCCAGGGGGATTTGTTCTTTATAGGAAGAGAAATGAAATGATACAAGTTTATTTTCATCTTGGGGATGGAAAATTGAGATAATTTTTTTTTCCATCCCTTCCTGACCTGGGGCTGCTTTTAGGCTCTTAGTTCCAAACCCTTCCCTTGTGGGGCTCCTTGGCTCCTTCACAGCTTCAAGATGGATAAAAATGCCATGTTATTTGGAAGGGTTATTTGCATGGATGCAGAATGAGCCAGTTCCCACAGGGGTTTAATGGTGACTAGAGCCTGGAATGAGAATTAAATTATCTCCACCCTTTGCAGAGGGGGGATTTTGATCCCCTCTGTTCCTCTCTGATTCAGCTTCCTCCTGAAGCAACCCCACTTTGCATATCAGCCCTGCCCAGGAGACAACAGGTGCTTGATTAATTGTACTCCTTAATTATCAGAATTCCTTGCCTAATTAGCCCAGGCCCATTATGAGCTGGTTTAGTTGGTGATGGAAACACTGCTCCTCCAGTGGGAGCCTTCCAGTTGGCTCTTAGCAGTTCAGCCCAGTACAGAAGTCATTCTTGGGTGGTTCATTCCAAACCTAGTTGGTTTGGGGCACCACGTATGTATTTTTACTGCAGCACCACTTTGGTTCTGCTGAGTCTGGGCAGCAATTTCTGGGCCTGCAGTTCCCTGCCTTGGTAAATTCATGGTCAATGTGAATTTTGTGGGAATAAATTACCTTCCCCCCCTCTTTAACTTGCTTTTGGATTTTTAGCTCATTTCCACCTTCCTTTTCCTGGTGAGCCTCCAGAGGTGCTAATGGAGGCAGCTTTTGGGGAGACAAGTGGGAGCTGAGCAGAGCTTTGCTCTCCATCCTCTGGGATGTGATGCCTAATGGGACCTCTCAGAGGGACAAAAGCATTAGGAGACTGATGGTTGTTGCTTCAAGAACCTCAGACCTTCTAGTTTAACTTGTTTGCTCCATCAAGACATGGATCTCCAGCCTCAATGTGTTGCCACATTGGAATTGGGTTATGGTTGGACTTGATGATCTTAAGGCTCTTTTCCAACTAGAGGCATGAGTTAGTGCCCAGCCTCTGGGCCATGGATCATTTTCCATTGGATGCTCAGTTTGGAAATGTTGGTGTTCAAACAAACACCAGCATCTCCACACCTGGATTGACCCAGAGATGTTTGCTCCACTGCATCCGTCTTTCCCTTTTCCCTGTGCACAATTTGGCCCTTCAAATTGCATCTGGTTTCTTTCTGCCCTCCTTCCCCTCCTTCTTCTCCCTTCCAGCTGCTTCCTCTGTTGGAACCAAGATCTTTGGAAGAGATTTGCAGCTCCCTGGGGAGCTCATCATTTGATTTTGAGGTGTTTCACAGCAGCTCTTGTTCTCCAGGTCTCCCATGTTGCAGTTCCTCACTGACAGCCTGACCTGGAGCAGGGCTAATCCTTCCCTTTCTCTTTCCAGTTCTTCTGGGTCCTTCTGGTGATCTTCCTCACAGAGCTGCTGCTGCTCTTCATTGAAATAATCTTTGAGAACAAGGTGGGTGCAATCAGGAACCCTTTGGTGACAAACTGCAGCCCTGTGTGGCATCAGGGAGGAGAAACCTCAAGTATCTGTTCATGTAGACCCTGACAACAAAAGGTGTTCATTGCTCTTGCTCTTCTGGGACTGCCCATCATGCTCTGGAGCTGGGATGGATCTCCACCACCACCCAGAGCCCCTGCTCCCAAAAACCTGGTGGGTTTTCTTTCTTAAGGACTCATGAAGCTCCTCCCCTCAATTCCATTAACCCCTGGCCTGTGTTTGAGTTCTAGTTGAGCCAGTGAGATGGTAAATGCTTCCACCAGATGTCCTTACTGGCCACCCACCTTCTGTTGAAGAAACTCTGCCATCTTCAATTTAATCTTACCCTTGTGCTCCATCACAGGAGTAAATAGCCAACCCCAGTCTCTGCTGGCTCAATGAATGGCCAAGCCAGGAGAGCAACAGCTGAAACACCCACTTCCAGGCTCTGAAAATCAATTTCCCTTTGCCCAAACAGCTTGATGCTTTTGAAAACCCACCAAGGTGGGCTATAGGGTGGTGAGCCCCAAAGGCAGGTTGGGTTTGGAAGTTATGGGTTTGGTGAGCCCCAGAGGCACATTGGGGTTGGAGGTCATGTGCTGGGTGAGCCCCAGAGTCGAAGGGTAGCAATGGGGGAGGACATTACTTTTTTGGGAGCTGCAGCCAGCTCCATCTAGCAGCTTCCCAGAGCTCTCCAGTGCCTTCTGATCCCTGGAAAACCTGGTGCACCAGTGGAGAGACCTGCTTCACTGGGGAAAATCAGCTTCCTGGAGTCCACCTGTGAGCCTGAGCAGTGGTGCCCTGCAGGGACACAAGGCTGGTACTATCAGGGGCCTGGTGATTTGACTCCTGGATTGCTTGGGAACCACTAGTGTCTCAAAGATGCCTTAATTTAAATTGAACAGGCAATATCAAAACCTAATTAAAAATCAAACAATGATTTGTTTTTAATCTGACAAGCGATGAATCCAACTTGACCTGAAATTGGTTGGAGGCACAAATCTGCATTTGGAACAATGGTTGTTTATTAAACTTGTTAGGAACATTTTTTAATTGGATTTGGTATGAAATGAACAGAGATGAGGAAGGAATTTAGTGGCCTGAAAGCTACTGAGCATTGAAATGGTCTCTGTGGAGATGTAAATTGTGGAGATAGGAGGTTTGGTGTCCTGGAAAGGGAGGGGAAAGGTTTGGGAACCAGGACTTGAACCATTTAACCCTGATTTATTTCCCAACTTCAACTCAACATTTAATTCCAGCCTCCAGGCTGGTGTCTTCTCAGGGAGGGGGCAGGATGAGGCTGGGGGAAAACAAGCAGGAAATGGTAAAACCTGGTGGTGTCTCTAGCAGCATTTTTCATACCCTTCCCCAAGAGCAATTCCCTCCAGGTTTTCCAACCTGCTCCTCAGCTCTTGCAGCCTTTGTTTCCTGCTCTGACATCCCTTCATGTCTCTTTGCTTTTTTACTTTCTTCTCCCCGTTCCTGGTTTCCCCAACCTCTAATTTTCATGTCAAGGTGACACATGAAAACCATTTTCATCCCCCTCTTTCCCCTGCTTCTATCTCAGCTGAAAGTTCCTTTTTGCTTCATGAATGTTTCTGCTGTTTGGCAGGAGGCAAATGACAAACCTGTGCTGGGCTTTGAGGGGTACATTTCCAACCTCAGCTCCCAGCTTGGTAAGAAGCTTCCCAGGCATCTGGAAAATTAATTTCCCATTTCATTAGTGTTTCATGGGAAGGGCCTGATGTCTCCAAGTGTCCTCAGAGATAGGGCTGAAGGAGCAGCAGGGAGAGCTGCACTCTTCCCTTTCAGAGGACAATGGAAAGTGCCCAGGGAGTCACCATCCCTGGAGGTGTTTAAAAGTCATGTAGATGCGATGCTGAGGGACATGGGTTAGCAGGGGACTTGGTAGACTTGGGTTAATCATAGAACCATTGGATGGTTTGGGTTAGAAGGGACCTCAAAGATCATCCAGATCCAAACCCCTACATGGGCAGGGACACCTCCCACCAGCCCAGGCTGCTCCAAGCCCCATCCAACCTGCCCTTCAACCCCCCCAGGGATGGGGCAGCCACAGCTTCCCTGCCCAACCTGGGCCAGGCTCTCTCCACCCTCACACCAAAGAATTCCCTCCTCATCTCCAACCTCCATCTCCCTCTCCCAGTTTGCATCCATCCCCCTCATCCCATCCCTCCCTGCCCTTGTCCCAAGTCCCTCCCCAGCTTTCCTGGAGCCCCTTCAGGCACTGGCAGGTGCTCTAAGGTCTCCCTGGAGCCTTCTCTTCTCCAGGCTGAACCCCCCAACTCTCCCAGCCTGTCTCCAGAGCAGAGCTGCTCCAGCCCTCCCATCATTTCCCTGGCTCCTCTGGACTCTCTCCAGCAGCTCCATGTTGTTCTGATACTGGGGACTCCAGAACTAGACCCAGCCCTGCAGGGGGTCTCACAAGAGCTGAGAGTGACTTGATTGATGGTTGGACTTGGTGATCATGATGATCAAGTTGATCATGATGATCAAGTTAAGGGTGACTTGATTGATCATCATTAGGTCTTTTCCAACCTAAAAAATTCTATGATTCCATCAATTCCTGACAGATTTGTTGGGATTAGGAGCAGCTGAGGCCTCTGAGGTCCCTGCTCCTGCACAGAGCTCATCCCATGGATGAATCACTGGTGGTATTGGCTGTCACAACCCATGTCACCTCCTCCAACCTCTCCTAATGCAGCAGAACCCCCCCTGCAAGGGGTAAAACTCCTGTTGGTCAGTGGGATTGGAGGACTTGAGGAACCTTTCCAAGAAAGCACCTTCATCATTCAATTTAATAGGAAAAACTGGGTGGGTAAAGGTCCATGTGTCTACCTGCAGGAGATGGAGAGATGCTGTGGGATGCTGCTAACCCCAGAAGCTCCAAAATGAGGAATTTTGTCCCAAGAAATGGGCTTGTGTCAGAATGTAGGTTAAATTCTTGCTCCTGGTGGTGACGCTTCTTATGAATCCGTTACTTTTTGCCATGTTTTCCTGGTGCCTTTTCCAGGTGTGAGCTCTGGGGTCTGTGTTTTCCTCTCCTCAGATGAATGCAGTTCTCCACTCCAACATCCAGGAGGGCATCAGGCACTACTATGATGACCTTGACTTCAAGAACATCTTGGATTTTGTCCAAGAAAAGGTTTGGTTTTGGAGGGGTTGGGGCAGGGGGTGGCACTGGGGAAGGGTTTCATTCAATTTAATAGGAAAAACTGGGTGGGTAAAGGTCCATGTGTCTACCTGCAGGAGATGGAGAGATGCTGTGGGATGCTGCTAACCCCAGAAGCTCCAAAATGAGGAATTTTGTCCCAAGAAATGGGCTTGTGTCAGAATGTAGGTTAAATTCTTGCTCCTGGTGGTGACGCTTCTTATGAATCCGTTACTTTTTGCCATGTTTTCCTGGTGCCTTTTCCAGGTGTGAGCTCTGGGGTCTGTGTTTTCCTCTCCTCAGATGAATGCAGTTCTCCACTCCAACATCCAGGAGGGCATCAGGCACTACTATGACGACCTTGACTTCAAGAACATCTTGGATTTTGTCCAAGAAAAGGTTTGGTTTTGGAGGGGTTGGGGCAGGGGGTGGCACTGGGGAAGGGTTTGCTTGAGAAGTTCCTCAAGGAGTAGTTACTTCTGTGCCTCCTTGGAGCAGGATCTACCTAATGGAGCTTGATCTACCTTGAATATCTTGATCTTTCTTGGTTTGCACAGTTGTGCTGTGCTGCTCCCCAACTCCAAAGGCTCTCACATCTGTGCATTTTTTTCCCTATAAGGACAATCAAACATTGAAAGTCTCCCAAGGTGGTTTCCTCCACATTGGACAGTTTTAAGTCTCAGCTTGACAGGGGGCTGAGCAACCTCATCTCAACCTAGAAACGTTGGACCAGATGATCCTTGAGGTCCCTTCCAACCTGGCATTCCAAGTTTTTATGGTTTGACCTCCTAGCAAGAGCAGGAGCTTGGTGAGAACCTGCAGCTCATTGCTGTGAGGTTTTGATATGATTTCCAAACCAGGAACAGCAGCATAGTCAGTGGTTGAAATGTGGAATTGCTTCAACCTGAGGGCAGGAGCAGGGAGAAGCAAAGCAGAGGAGCAAGGTCCTGCACCTGGATGGAGCAACCAGAGATATCAATACAGGCTGAGGGAAGACATGCTTGAGAGCAGACCTCTGGAAAAAGACCTGGAGGTTCTAGTGGACCAAAAGCTGGACATGAGCCACCAATGTGCCCTCACAGCCCAGAAGGCCAGCAGCATCCTGGGCTGCATCAAGAGAAGAGTGGCCAGCAGATGGAGGGAGGTGACTTTGCCCTGGTGAGACCCCACCTGGAGTACTGCATCCAGCTCTGGAACCCCCAGCACAAAAAGGATGTGGACCTGTTGGAGGGTGTCCAGAGAGGCAAATGAGAATGATCCAAGGACTGGAGCAGCTCTCTGAAGGCAGGCTGAGGGAGCTGGGGTTGTTCAGCCTGGAGAAAAGACTCCAGGAGGACCTTCTCGTGACCTTCCAGTACCTGAAAGGGGCCTCTAAGAAGGCTGGGGAAGAGCTGCTCACAGGGCATGGAACAACAGGACAAGGGGTGATGGTTTAATGCTAGAAAAGGGTAGAGTTAAGTTGGACATGAGGAAAAAGTTCTTTAATATGAGGGTGGTGGATCAGTGACCAGGTTGCCTGAGGAGGTGATGGGGGTCCCATCCCTGGAGACATTCAAGGTCAGGCTTGATGGGGCTCTGAGCAATCTGTTCTAGTTGGAGATGTCCCTGCTTATTGTAGAGGGGTTGGACTAGGTGGTCTTCAGAGGTTCCTTCCAGCCCAAGACATTCTGTAGTTCTAAGATCTGCTTTTAAAAGAAGGGAAATTGTTTTTATGGGGTCTGAGCAGCCTGGTTCACTCTGGGAGGATGAGAACTTGCAGGCAGCTGGGGAAGATTGCATCCAGGCCTGCTGTTTGGATCAAACAAGCTGAGAGCAGCCTGTCCCCATCTTTTGTGGTTATCCTGGCCCTTTTCCTGCTGCCAAACCTTGTCTGTGCACAGGTGAGCTAGCACATGGCTTAGGCAGGTCAGGCAAACCCACACTGCCCTCCTTAGGGTTGGAATTTTGCCTAAACCCTGAGGTGATGCTTTCATAGGATCACAGGGGTGGGAAGGGAACTCTGAAGGTCATCAAGTCCAATCCCCCCTGCTGCAGCAGGAACACTCAGGGCAGATCCCACAGGAAACACGTCCAGTTGGGTCTTGGAAAATCTCCAGAGAAGGAGCCTCCACAACCTCTCTGAGCAGCCAACTAAACCCAGATGCCTTCACACCCTTAAACCTGTTCTCATACAGTGAAAATAACAAGGAATTATGATCCCAAGTGTAATATTTTTCCATTAACAGGATGATGGTGCAAATAATAGTTTTTACCTGTCGACACCTACTCGGTTTGGCTGCCTGAGAGTGAGTGGGTATTGAAAGCAAATTGCCCTGAAGAAAATAGTACTTATATGTTCTTATCACTCATTCTTTTCTGAACTCCTGCTGCAGCTCTTGGACGTGAGGCTGGAGACCAGGATGACTCAAAAGCCCAGGTTTGCCTCAAGTTCCTAACTGCAGCTCCCTGCTGTTCCTTCTCTTGATCTTTATTTAATGGTTTGCTGAGTACAGGTGGAGGAAGAGGGTTCAAACTGCTTGGCTGAGCACAGGATTTGAATTTCAAAGAGCTGCCAGGGCTGCGGGTCTTTTACAAACCTGAATGGCTCCAGACTCCTAGGAAAGCTGGAGGGATGGGGGTTTGTGCCTGCAAACCTCCCCCTTTCTGCTCGGGGAAGATTAAAGGCAGCTTTCCTCAGCATGGCTGCTTTGAGCCATTTGCTTTGAGGGTGAATGGTTTCATAGAATCATGGGATGGTTTGGGTTGAAGGGACCTTAAAGATCATCCAGTTCCAACCCCCTGCATGGGCAGGGACACCTCCCACCAGCCCAGGTTGCTCCAAGCCCCATCCAACCTGCCCTTCAACACCCCCAGGGATGGGGCAGCCACAGCTTCCCTGGGCAACC